TCTTCTTTACAGATCTCCAACTACTGACACCAGAATCATTACATCACTCCATCCCTTCTCTACAGATCTCCAGTTACTGACACCAGAATCAGTTCATCAACCCATTCCTTCTTTACAGATCTCCAGCTACTGAAACCAGAATCAGTACAGCAATCCATCCCTTCTCTACAGATCTCCAGCTACTGACACCAGAATCAGTAAATCAACCCATCCCTTCTCTACAGATCTCCAGCTACTGAAACCAGAATCAGTACATCAACCCATCCCTTCTCTACAGATCTCCAGCTACTGACACCAGAATCAGTAAATCAACCCATCCCTTCTCTACAGATCTCCAGCTACTGACACCAGAATCAGTAAATCAACCCATCCCTTCTCTACAGATTTCCACCTACTGACACCAGAATCAGTAAATCAACCCATCCCTTCTCTATAGATCTCCAGCTACTGACACCAGAATCAGTTCATCAACCCATTCCTTCTTTACAGATCTCCAACACCCGAATCAGTACATAAACCCATCCCTTCTCTACAGATCTCCAACTACTGACACCGAATCAGTACATCAACCCATCCCTTCTCTACAGATCTCCAACTACTGACACCGAAATGCATCAATCCATCCATTCTTTATATGTCGCCAACTCTCTAACATTATAAACCCCTTTAAAGTAACAGTTTTAGCTTTAAACAGAAGGCTTGGTGGGCAGTGATTTATGGAGGACAAAAGACAGGATTTGAACTTAAGGCTTACTGGGCAGTGACTTGTGGATGTCTAAAGATATGCTTTAAACTTAAAGTTTACAAGGCAATGACTTGTGGAGGACAAACTTTAAATGAGTAAAGCATTGTTGACTGAAACACAATCCTTGAAATGTTACTAGATACTCAGTACGATACCTTTGAAAAATACGCATAAGCCTAATTTTTTATCAGCTGTAGTCCGTATTTTTTGTGTGTTTTGTATTGTGTCACACCCTAACCAATACCTTAAACAAAATATTGATATTCAACAGTGATTTTCTCTTCTGAAGTTGGAGGTCATTTTTTATACATATGCCAAAAATAACCCTTGATATTAAAGTCTAGTCTGATATTAACACGTTTATTTCAAACAAGTGATATAAGCTTAAATTATGGAACTCTTTATCAAAATTATTGCTATCAATCTGTCTGCTGTACTTATCACTTATTCACGAGTTTCGTGAAATTACTCATGATTTCACAGCTAAAACAGAACCACAATTAAAAGTAACTTATACCCAGCTCAGTGAGTGTACGTGTTCTTTGTTGGCAATGTAATTATACGAAATAGTAACAAGCTTATGTCAGCCGATAACAAGCGTGGCGTTATAGGTAAGTGAAGGTGTTCAAACGCACACTATGAACAAATATTTCTATGTAAAATACACAGGACCACGTCAATGCACACTATGAATAAATATTTCTATGTGTAATCCACAGAACCACGTCAATGCACACTATGAATAAATATTTCTATGTGTAATCCACAGAACCACGTCAATGCACGACTATGAACAAATATTTCTATGTGTAATCCACAGAATCACGTCAATGCACACTATGAATAAATATTTCTATGTAAAATACACAGAACCACGTCAATACACACTATAAATAAATATTTCTATGTGTAATCCACAGAACCACGTCAATGCACACTATGAATAAATATTTCTATGTGTAATCCACAGAACCACGTCAATGCACACTATGAATAAATATTTCTATGTAAAATCCACAGAACCACGTAAATGCACATTATGAATAAATATTTCTATGTAAAATACACAGAACCACGTCAATGCACATTATGAACAAATATTTCTATGTAAAATCCACAGAACCACGTCAATTGCTCAACCTTCAGTTGGTGAGGTAACCACAGTCCACGCTGGAAGCTACAGACAACAACTTCGTCTAGCTTCAATATCAATGCAAGACTTAATATATTCTTACGTTGTGGGACTTTGGTTAATAGCAAGAAGAACAAAGTGAGAAAATAAGATCCCTTTCTTAAATTAAGAAAATGAAAATTGTGAAATAAAATAGTAAAAATATCGTTTCTGATAAAATAAAACCTGTAACAACTGGACTGTTTAGTTTAATAGATGGGACGGCCTATATGGACAAATAGGTCCCTGACTGTCCTTAAATTATATATGCATGTAACTATAATATATAATGCGTCATAATACATCGTTGCTCCATAAAGGCTCCGGTAAGAGGGCCGAAAGCTCGCAAATATAAGAAAAATATTTTAATGTAGAGAAAAGCTCGTGCATAATTTGTTGATGGTCTGTACTGAAATACCTCTGTAACTCAGCTGTTGTGGTTATGAGATGCTCTGTAATGTGCTCTATCGAGTTAATAAAATTTTACTTTTATATGTATCTCACACAAAAACATAGACGTTCTCATAATACCTGATCAAAATTAGTCTTTTATAAAAATATCCCAACTTCCACAGCATAAACACTATAGTGTCAGTAGAATGAAATAAAATAACAATATTTTATCACAAATTGTAACAATATGAAATTTACTAATAATCTTCTATATCTTAGTGTCTGACATCAACAGATATTGAAGCCTATTCTTCTAACAATGGTTATTGTACGTGTTAGATCATTGTCGCAAGACACATGTGATATTATTATCTTGAACTTTCGGAATATTGCTACGTCACCTATAGAAGAAGGGTAGTATATCAGATGTTGCAAGTTAAGGATATTTAGTAACACGAGTGATTTCTGCTCTCACCAGGAGGTAAGTTTCTTATTTAATAATATATTCAAAAGCTGGTACAAGTGCTTAATATATTTATTTGTATTTTATTACATTTATTTTGATATTACTTACATATATTTTTATATAAGTTCTTTGTTTGGATTCCGATAATTGGGCGTCCCGTAAAAATTGTTATCGTGTTTTTGTTCGATTGAACCAAATTGGTTTGCTTTTGCCTAAATTCAGTAGGTAATAATACAAATTCTAGTTTATTATTTGACTTTTTCGTTTTTCACCGGTAAGTTCCTTATATATATATATATATATATATTAATTCATTTTTATTCAACTTTGATTTGTTCGTACAAACCATATTAGCTTTACAAGTTTCGCAAGTGAAACTGACGGAATCAAACTCAAGACTTCTTTTAACCTTCAGTGACAATAGAACTGATTATTATTTTACTTGTCATAAGACATTAGCGTTAGATCTATTTCATTTTTAAACACTACATTCTAAATGTTAGACTCTTAGTATTTAGAATAATTATAATTATAGTATTCCAACCATGCTATTTCTGTCATATCCCTTGCGTTTCGCTCGATCAAGAGGTATTCCGGCCGGTTGTATACCACAAACACAGAAGTGGTGGGAATATTATTTTTATAACTGGTTGCCGTCGCGGTGTTTACGACTTTTTTTTTTTTAATCAAGAAGGTTAGTTAAATTCTATGTCAAATGTAGTCTGCTAATTTCTGTTATTTATAATTATTGGAGATGGACCAATAGGTGTCCTTATATTATATCAAGTCATTACCATTATTTAGAGTTTCTTTTCTACATAGCTACGGTGGTCTGTAATGTGTTCTATGAAACTAAAAAAATCACAATGTAAGAAGATTCTTTGTTTGTTACATTTCACCTTAAACTACTGGAGGGCTATCAGCGCTTGTCGTCCCTTATTTTAACGTGATTGGTAGAGGAATGGCAGCTACTGAATACCACCAACCGCCAGCTCTTGGGCTACTCTTTACTAACGAAAGTGGATTGATTTGTTTCATAATAACATTTTTCCTATATGAATGATATTGTATTTACTAGACTGTTATTAAGTCTGTTAAGAACAAAGTACAGGGAATGCATGATCGTAAGATATGACCCAAGGCTTGTTTTTAAAAAGAAAAAAAAATACATGTAATGCATTATTTGCTTTCTAATCATTTTTTTTCTATAACAATACTATTGTGTCAACTAGACGCTGTTATTAAGCGCAGCTGTTAAAATGGCTACCAACCAAAGTCAACCCCCATTGGACACCGTCGACCATGGCCCTCTTTTGGCTTCTCCAGGAAACAGAGATCGATTCTTAAGTTCTGCTGATTCAAGAGTTTCCTTTTCCTACAACCAAACTGCTAAGGAGTTACCTACTACAAAGAAACTGAGCCGTAGACAACTTGTGTTTGTACTTCTCCTGGCTTATTGTTACTTTTCCATGGCCTTGTACTCGGCACTGTTGGCACCTTTCTTCCCTAATGAGGTAGGAAGTTAATTTTGTTGTTTCAAATAAACACAAGCAGACATTGTCCATTAGAGTGTAGAAAGTCTTAGATGTCCCACCTGGACACCCATGCACCCTTCTTTCTACTATATTATTGCAATTTTCATCAAGATAAATATGGCCTCCACCCTTGCTTCATGTTCAAACATTATATCATGGCACCCTGCCTCATGTCGAAATGTTACACCATGGCATTCTGTTTGTTTCCCAGTTAGTGAAATGCGATATTACATACATTTTAGTATCAAGTGTCCCCTAGGAATCTTGTTCGCTGAATGACTAATATAGATGTTACTACTATCTAGTGTCGTGTTCCGACAACTAAGAAGTTGTTCACCCTAAGAACCGTTGTCACTGTATGATTAATATAGATATTGCTACTATCTAGTGTCGTGCTCCGACAACTAAGACGTTGTGCACCCTAAGAACCGTTGTCTCTGTATGATTAATATAGATATTGTTACTATCTAGTGTCGAGCTCCGGCAACTAAGGCGTTGTGCACCCTAAGAACCGTTGTCTCTGTATGATTAATATAGATATTATTACTATCTGATATCGTGCTCCGACAACTAAGGCGTTGTGCACCCTAAGAACCGTTGTCTCTGTATGATTAATATAGATATTGTTACTATCTAGTGTCGAGCTCCGACAACTAAGACGTTGTGCACCGTAAGAACCGTTGTTCCTGTACGACTAATATATTTATAATGTTTCATCTACGACTTTGTATTTTGTAACAAAGTCAACCTGATGAGCTCCCGTTTTTTTTTTTTGCGAAAGGCGTGCAATAGACAAATTCAAACGCTGTAGTCTCTTCTCATTGAAAGATAAAGAATGGCGTAATTTAACATCTGTGTTATTGTGATGTTCTATCACAAGCATGTTACTTACTTAGAGATGATATTGTATCTTATTGTACTGGTGGCTATAATAATATTTATTTATTTATATTTCAGACTTTTCGTAATTACCAGGCGACAATGTAAAATTACGTTATTTATGAAATTATTTATGTTGTTTAACGTTTGTTTAAATGTTAAAATTAGGTTTTTAAGTGGAATTATACAGAGAGTTAAAAACTACTATGAAGTTCATGAGAAGAATGAATATAAGTTTCTGTTCAAAATAATTTAAGCTGCTAAATAAATCATGTGTACCATCTGAATCTGGAATAGGGTGAAAAACGAGGACTGTCAGCCACCCAATACGGAGCTATTATTGGCACGATCGCCTTCGTCATTTTTATCAGCTCGCCTATAGTACCAAAACTTGTAAGTTAAAAAAAGAAACAAATGTGTTTTTTGCAATGTATTGATATAACAATAACTTAAAATAAAAATAATTCACTATCAGATTGAAGCATTATTATTTAATATCGAAGTTTTATTTTATAAGTTTCTGGAAATGGTTTTCTTAATCACTAAAGACAGTGCACCGCATAATTACTGGAATCATTTACTTGTTGAGTAACATAATTTAATTTATTACTGACAAGACACTTTTACTTGTTGATTAACGTAATTTAATTTATTACTGTCAAAAGGTATTTGCTTGTCAATTAACATTATTTAATTCATTACTTACAAGAGACATTTATTTGTTGAATAGCATATTTTAGTCATTACTGAGAGACATTTACCTGTTGGTTAACATAATTTAATTCATTATAGACAAGAGACATTTGTTTGTTGCGTAACAGGAGACTGCCCATCTTAGTTCAAAAATGGATCTGATGCTTGTTACCGTATATTTGTAGCTAATTTTAAAAACTGTTTACTCGATAAGCACTAAGAAACTGTTAAGCCAATATGACACTTAATCGGGTGCAAGATAAACAAAGAAAAAATGAGACAAGAAACATAAATGTATTAGTGCTCATAATAACTTGTTACCAACATATAAATGTTGTAGTTTATGCCTTTTTTAATTATAGATGTTTATACTGTTTAGGTTAGAGGAATCTATTTTACGTTTTTATTAACTGAGATAATCCTTAGAACGTTACCCAATAAATAAATAACTCATCACATTTGAACAACTGAAAGCACCATTTAGAAGTTACGGGATCATATATTCTCTGATATAATTTGTCCTCTACACAAATTACTTGAAAAGTCAAATATGTTTTGTTGACTGCTGATTGTGAACAAGTTTTGACAAAAAATTGACCTCTATTTGTGTATAAGCATACCCAACTCTTGAAAATCCACATCTAATAGATACAGATATCAGTGATTTTGCAATGCGAGCAGTAATATCACAAGTACAACACGTGAAAGAACATGTAACTGCCTACTATAGCAGGGCAATGAATGCTTCAGAAAGGAAGTATTGTACAACCAAAGGAACGATTAAGTTTTGTTATAGTCCTAAGTTATTCCTATAATTACCTATATGTACAAGCTTTACACTCCAGAAATATCATATAACATTCAAACGGCTGATTAATTTTCACAGTCAAGAAGGTGAAATAGAAAAAAAATGGCTCCAAAAACTCAAGAAATACAACCTTAATATCGTGGAAGTAACCATGGAAATTCTCATTCATTATTCCGAAGACTTTCTATTAATGAAGAATATAATCATTGTGAAAAAAGGGAAGCACAAGATAGTGAAGAAGATCAATCCGAGCTAAAGCAGAGTAGAGTACAAGTTGAATCTATGTTGATCTAGAAGAGCTAAAAAGATTAATTAGACAATTATAAATCATCTATAAGTGATGATGAAGAACTAAAGAGGGGAGCATAAAATAGTGAAGAATGCCAGCCTGAACTAAAACAGAGTAGAGTACAAAACGGATCATCTATAAGTGATGATGAAGAACTAAAGAGGGAAGCATAAGATAGTGAAGAATGCCAACCTGAACTAAAACAGAGTAGAGTACAAGACGGATCATCTATAAGTGATGATGAAGAACTAAAGAGGGAAGCATAAGATAGTGAAGAATACCAACCTGAACTAAAACAGAGTAGAGTACAAGATGATGAAGAACTAGTGAGAGAAGCACATGATAGTGAAGAAGGCCAACTTAAATTAAAACAGAGTAGAGTACAAGATGGATCATCTATAAGTGATGATGAAGAACTAATGTTGTCCAACACTCATCTGAAAGATACTTAGGCAAAAGATGCCCGTCTGAAACAAATAATTCCAGTGGCTCAAGAATAGTGCAGAAGAACTCTCGTGGCAAACAGTCATTCCATACAACACAAAGACAGACATGTACTGGATACAGTTGGACTTGTTATGTCTGTGAGAAGGTTTGCTATGCTGAAAATAGGGAGATACTAGTAGATACAACGACTACAATTGGTACACTCAAAATTACTTTATCATTTTTCACAACTTTCCACCAGCTGAACAATTAGGTGCTACTAAGACACTAGAGAGAGTAAGAGAGTGTTTCTTTTGGGTTGAGTGCCAGAAATATGTAGATAATTAACTTAAATCTATTGAACTACGCTGTGGAGGAAAAGTACATAAAAGAAACAGCATGAGCAACAACATCAGTATTATGTTGGAACGCCACTTTAAAGATTTGATTTTGATGTGCTTGGTCCTCTACCACAGAATTAAAAAAAAACGGTATTTCGTGGTTGTAGTGAATTATTTCACCAAGTGTTTACAAACATATTCTGTTCCTAAGCAGAAAACAGAAATTCTAGAAAGGAAACTCGTCAATTACTTGTTAAGATTTGTGGTGCCTATGGAACTTCACTCAGGCCAGGGATGGAGTTTCAGATCAGCCTTGTTTATGACGATGTGTTAAATCCTTGGGATAAAAAACAACAGGACAACAGCCTTTCTTCAATCTCCTGATGGAATTGTAAAGGGATATGACTGTATACTCTTAAATCAGTTAGCCGTTTATGAGGATGAACATCAGAAAAAATGTAATCGAGATACTCCACTCTTACTCATGAGTTATCGAACAGCAAATCATGAGGGTACAAGCAACACACCACCAATACTGATGTTTGATAGATATCTTAATGTACAATTGAGCATTCTCTACTCATATACTGGGAATAAATTCTCAACAAAGGACATTATTTTACCTGAAAAAAGATTGAAATCATCTAATGATAAGATGAAAAGTTGCTTTAATGATATAATTGCTTACAAGACTGAATTTCATCAGGATGACATATCATGACTGTACAATATATGCTACAAAAAATGACGAACTCCATTGTTGAGTAGGTGTGGGTGGTAGGGCTATATGCTTTAGTAAAAAAGAATTAGAAATGGAGTTTATAGAATCCAAAAGGTCAGGCAACACAAGCCAGAAGTCATCTTTGTAAGTACGTTGGTGAGAGAATGGTCAGCAGGTTATTTTTAGTTTGCCAGAGGTAAGTCATCATGCTGAAGAGTCCTAGATTCCAGTCGAGACAGGTTCAGAGAAGAATTTTCCAGTGACAAGTCAACCTGCTGAAGAGCCCAAGGTTCCTGTTCAGACCACTCCCAGAGTGGCACTAAGGGTGAGACCACCAGTGGATTCCTTCGACCATTGACAAGACAACAAATGACAAAAAAAAGGACACGAAGTCGTCCCATCTCGTAGTAGTAACCACAGAAGAGCAAATCACCAGAGATTTGGCAAATGAATTAAAAAAAAAAAAACATGTAAGAATAGCAAATAAAGTTTTGTTTTGTTAATCAGAATTTTGGTTGTTTAACATATTTGATTAATGGTTTATTGATGGTAACGTTTATAAGGAAGATATGACCCCAACAATGTTTTTAATTGTTTAACTGCTATTTTAAAGGATTAAACATATTTCATTTTAGTTTTTCACCAGGTACGACTAATTAATACGCTTTTATTTTCAACTAACCATTATGGGACTCTAGGCAGTGCTTGTCGTAGTTGTACTTAAGGCCGACATTATGCAAGAAGGTAACATTTAGCAGATATGCTTTACAACCATACAGTTAAGTTTCTCTTTCTTTGTATTATTTACAGGTTTCCTTCGCAAAACCAAAATCCCTTATCAACACGGGGATGTTTGTATCAGGCATATGTGGCATTTTGTTTGGGTAGGTTATTTTTCTTGTTTTTTTTTCAATAATTAGAACCTCAGCATATTATTTAGTTTCTATCGTATTTGTGTTAAACGAGTTGCAGTAAATATCCTATTTAAAACTACGTCTTCCTTTATATATATATATATATTATATATTATTTAGTTTCTATCGTATTTGTGTTAAACGAGTAGCAGTTAATAGCCTATTTAAAACTACGTCTTCCTTTATGTATTATATATTGCCCCCTGGTGGCACAGCGGTATGTCTGCGGACTTACAACGCTATAATCCGGGTTTCGATATCCGTGGTGGGCAGAGCACAGATAGGCCACTGTGTAGCTTTGTGCTTAATTACAAACAACAACAATATATTATTTAGTTTATATCGTATTTGTGTTAAACGAATTTCAATAAATATCCTATTTAAAACAACCTTTAAGTTGGTAGCAACGATCGCCATTTATCTGGGCTTCTTTTATTTTTAGTTCTCTTTATTTTTGTAATTATGAAATCGAATCCTTTTTTCATACTCTGTTATAAAATAATTTCTACAGTTATGTTCAAAACATTGTACCGTTTATAAATTTATTAATTATCTGTCACGAAGTCTCAGGTATTTAAAATATTTGAAGAGAGACTTTTTTGAAAAAAGTATACTATAAAACAATCTAATATAAAATTATACCAAAAACTTAGAACTCTTTACATTATAATTTTGTTAAATTTGTTGCTTTAGGTAAAATTTTTTCTTTCTTTACAAGAATTCATACGATTTTACATTTTCTTCATAATCAATGTCAACAACAGGTGTTATTTAGCGAGATGATGAAAGTCACGACTAACTGTCGCTAAGATAATGGCAAAGTATCAAAATATATAAGCGATCCTTTTGTAGATTTCTGGATAACTCTCCACCGGGAACAACGCTATTCGTCTTGGCATTGGCAGTGCAATTTGTTGCGGGTCTAGGAGCGTCCGTTGTATACAACTTCGGATATCCAATAATGGCGAAAGAAGTTGTATACACATACACATACAATACACATACACTTTATAAGATACAAACTTACTGTGGCTGTTCCTCTATTGTCTACAACTTCAGATATCCAATAATGGCAAAAGAAGTTGTAGACAATAGAGGAACAGCCACAGTAAGTTTGTATCTTATAAAGTGTATGTGTATCGTTTGATTTTTATTCAGCTTTTCACAACATAATGTACACGTGGATTAAATGTGATATATATATATATATATATATCATTTGTTTGCAGGAGTCGAATCCCGAATTTTAATTTTTTTACAAAAGCTCTCACTTACATCGGAGCCACGGAAGAAGCTTTTTATATAGAAAACAGAAGTGGATTTAAATGTTTTCATTGTTTTCATAAGATAAAACATATCATTCTTATTCTGCATAAGGGTTACGAATCATATATTTGTTTAAAAAAAAAACGTTCTGATAATGACTTTGAATCATAGCGTTAATCAGTATTCAAGAGTACTAATTCTTTTCAATAAATGTATCACTAGATCCTAAAAATATAATGTCTAGAAATCACCCAATTTTCTTAATAATTTTTGCGTAACTGATATCGTTAGTAAACAATAATAATCTTACAGTTTTATAAGTGTCATTACTGCCTAACAATAAATAGAAAGATATAATATTTTGTTTTTATTCGAAATTCATATTGGAAATATTAACAGAAATTTTGCAGTCAGTCATGAGTTTAGTATTATTGTAAGCTGGATTTCCAAAGCTTTACTTTAGTAAGTGCTAGAATACCTAGAATGTTCTAAATTTGACGTCACAAAAATTTTAGAAACTTCGACAAATATCTTTAGATATAAATACTGGCAGGTCAGTCACTTAATAAGCTAGCAGTGAATCAGTTAGAGTTGTTTCCAGTTGGTAGAGTGTCGGTGATTCAATGAAATATTTAGTTTCAGAGAAGTATTTGGATCAGCTTTAGTTATCTATATTTAGTTACTGAATCGATTAGTCTTGAAATTTGCAAGTAAATTTACTTTTTACTTTAGTCATTGTACCATTAGCGAGGTATTTCCGTTTGAACGTCATTTGCAAACTTAGGCTTACAAGATATAATAGTGTAAAAGTTCGTAAAAACGTTAAGAAAGAGATAAACCTATTTATTATCGTTGCGTAGACTGGACTTGACCTTATTTTCAACAATAAAAAATGTTAGGCCTAATTCCTTCGTCAGTTCAGGTACTCTATTTAGAGAAGGAATTTGATACAGTATCTCATAAAATGTTAGAAGGTAAAATGAAAATTCTAGGAATAAGAAGCATTGCATTAAAATGGTATAAATGGTATTAGTACAAAGTAACACAGATTGTAAAAGCCATAGCTTTCTCTTTTTTGTCCCGATCACAAACAGTAAAAGTATTGTTGCGTATCTGCTTGTTTGTTAATTTCCGGTATAAATTATTTTCGAGGAACTTCAGTGATGCAAGTCCTTTCTTGGTTAAACCAGTTTATTCTTTCTCGATACAAACTTTGTAATACACAGAATTTCCATAGTCAATACGTTTTTCTCGTCGCTTTAAACTTAACAACTTTTATAATACACGCTATAAATCACAGCGATTCACAATCTCGATAACTTCGCTCTATGCGACGACTGCAAAACATACACAATTTACGGCTGAACGTGACTGTTGTTCGGTTGACTAAAATATCCATCTACTGCTGGCTTTCTTTGCCAGGCTTATATACTAAAAAATAGGACGTCTGGAACACACTAGGGCTGCCGGGCAATTTCATGATCATTTGAGAAACTCCAGCGCGCATGCTCCCAGCGTCTCATGACTTTCGCTGTCATAACAGTATTAAATTCTACCACTTTCTCTGTACTTTAGAGTGAGTTTGATAAGTAAGGATTATTATTATTATTCTTTTAAATTTTACTTAAAGAATTACCCGACAAAGACAAATCATACAGTACAGCGTTTCCTCCCTCTCTCACTCCCTGCTACGTTTTCTTAATCTGTAATTTGGCAGCCACAGGACTTGTGGTTTGAATACCTGCCCAGCCGATAGAAAGAAGACGAAGAACCAATATTTTTCACTTTATTATCTATTACCATAACTAAAACAATATGTATATTTTTTAAAGAAAAAAATAAAATGGTTGTAAAAGAAAATTATTTTAAATTGTATATTCATAATAATGGGTGTATAAAATGATAATAACTGTAAATGTTTGCAACTTCAAATCGTGTATGATATAAAATATTTAGGCTTACAAACTGATAAATAAGTTGGAAACATGTTAAGGATTTAGCAAAAACACTAAGATTTATGTTCATTAAAAATATATTATTTGAAAAGCTTGTTAATCGTCCAGATATTAAAAATTCTTTATTTTTAATTGGTACAGTTAGTAATTTACTATGGAATTTTGATATGAGGAGGAACTTATCCAATTACATTAAAGCCAATTATTTCATTACAGATTAATATTATAACAAATATAATTATAAAAATGAAACAATTTATGTTTATTAAAAATATTACACGCGGTGGCTTGGCGATTTGAGGGCTTTCCACACTAAAAAATCGGATTTCGATACCTGCGGTGGGCAGAGCACGTATCGAACATTGTGTAGCTTTGCGGTTAGTAACTAACAAACAACCAAACAACAACAACACTATGAATATATAGAATATTATTTTTATTATTTACAAAGAATAAAAGTGATTATTTATAAATCAGAACTGATGTTTATCCTAATAGAATAGAAGGATTAAAACATCAAATTTCAACAGTTAAAACGGATATTACGCATAAACATTTTTGGTACTTATCACTAAAACTATTTAATAATTTACCTTTAATGTTAAGAAATGTAAGTAATCTAACTAACTTTAAGGTAAATGTAAGAGAATTTTTGATTAAATTATAAACATGTACAAGATAATAATAATAATTATTGGTGTTTCTAATATAATTGAGATCAAACAAAATACTAATAAACAATGTTATTAATTCAGATATACTAAATAATTGAAATGTGATGGAATAAAATACTAAAAAATTAAAGTGGTTAACCCATATCAGAATTCCCTATTGAATTAATTTAATATAGTTTAATACTAAATAATTAATGTTATTAACCCAGATATACTAAATAATTGAAATGTGATGGAATAAAATACTAAAAAATTAAAGTGGTTAACCCATATCAGAATTCCCTATTGAATTAATTTAATATAGCTTAATACTAAATAATTAATGTTATTAACCCGAATAAGCAAATAAAAACGTATTTAGACGAAATGTAAAACACCTATGTCTTTATTTCCAATTAATAAACGACACATAAATGTTTTTGCTGTGCTTTAATTGGCAGGAGTAGCAAATCGATAAGTAGATTAGACCTCTACTTCATTCACTGAAATTACACGTTTTGGTGAAGGGAAGAAAAATTTACAACCAAAATATAAATGATGTCAAAAAATTATTTTATTGTTTAGCGCTAAACAATATAAGAGTAAGTAATTGTTGCTGACCAACAACAAATGATGTGTGAAACTTGTCTAAATTTTTTCACCAACCTAATTTAGCAGTGTAAGACTAAAGGGAAGGCAGCTAGTCATCACCACCCACCGCCAACTCTTGGGCTACCTAACCACCTGGCCAATCTATTATGTGAACGTTGTCTAAAATGTTTTTGATGAACAATAAATATTTTACAAAATAGAATTACTAATAAATATTTTGCAATAATTGTAGAAAAATGTCTTTATTGCCCAAAAATATACACTATATATAAATATTGTTGAAATACTTCTACTATTTATATATATAAAATATAAGTTACATATAAAAGTTGTCGAAAATATATTTTTTTGCTCAACAAGAAATTATATGTAAACGCAAAAATGTACCTATTTCTCAACAATTAGCAATTTATACATGTTGTTATGATAT